TATCAGGTCTTTCTAACCTACTTTTTTTTAAATATCAATAGGCATCCCTCATCTAGGTAACTACTTTGGTGCTTTAAAAAGCTGGTCTTCACTCCAAGAACGGTTTCATAAGGTAACAACTCACTTTGTTTGCGGTAGATGCCTTCTATTGTTTTTACATAAAAGAATTATTTTTGTGTCGTCGATCTCCATGCTTTAACGGTTCTTAGGACACCAGGTTTTCATATGGTTTTTATAAAAACAGTTTAAAGTCTCTTTTCAACTTCTATAAACAGTCTAACTTTAAATATATGTAGGGGCTCTTTTAGAGAATATAAAAACCATGATAGTCTCTCTTTTGGCTTGTGGTATAGATCCTCAAAAAAGTGTAATTTTTCAGCAGTCCATGGTATTTACTAGAGTACTCAATTGTTAATCACAAATATGCGTTATTATTAGGTGCCTCATCACTGTGAACTGTTGTGGATTTTATGTTGCTTTACTTCCTTGTCTTCCCTAAAAAGGATGACTCAATTTAAGGCACAACATATTGTTTATTCGATTACTTTAAAGTTGCATGTAAAACCTCTTTTTTAGATTAAAAAAGAAAATGTTTCTACGAAGGCCGGACTTTTTACCTATCCCATCTTGATGGCCGCTGACATTTTTCTTTATCAGTATTTATTCTACCTTATAGTCTTATTTATGGAGGGCATAGTTCAACTTGCTTTTTGACTATATAACGTACTCTATACATAGATCTATTCTTTTTAAAACTTCTAAATTAGCCGAGCGCTTTTATTTTAATGAAAGTATTCAGTCAATTCTGGATTACTTATAATACTAAAAAATTTACTAACCTTAATTTGGAAATACGGTAGCTTTTTTTTTTTAAAGAATATTAAATAGGAAATTAAAGATTTAAAAACGGCGCTTAGTTTATGGCTTTACCATAATAACTTTAAGCTAGAAAAAAATTTATGAAAAAGTGCAATTCAATTTTTTCACGTTTGTATAACTGCCTTATTCGACTTTGCAGATCGACTCGCGTTCCGGTGGGAGACGACCAGCGGCAACATATCGAATTTGCGCGTGACTTGGCCATTTCCGTTAACTACACGTTTTCTCAGAAACTATTTTCCGTTCCAGAAGGCCTTTATGGTTTTCTGGGCTTTCTTCAAAGAAGCTTTAGCCCTTATCTTTTCTTTGAGGATCCATCCCAAGGCTTAGAGACCTGAGAAATCCTGCTGTTAAAATGAGCAAAACTGCTCCTTCTTCTAACGGATGCATTAATTTAACGGGTCTTTGAATCTTATTGGCGCGTAACACAATAACTATATCCTTTGCAGACTCTGACGACGAGATTTCCGCAAAAATAAGAATGTCCTTTACCGACTGCGAGCCACTGCTTACCTATGACCTCGTACGACGGCCAGGCGTCGCTAATTTGATTAACATTTACTCTGCATGCACAGGTTTTCTTTATTGTTAAGAGATCATTATTTCACATGCTATTGACCACCCTAAAATAGGTAAATCCCCTTCAGTTGTCTGTGAGGAATTTCGAGATTCATCCATGAGAGAGTTTAAAGAGGCCGTTGTAGAGGCGGTCATACACGAAGTTGCACCCATAAGAAAGCAAATTGGTTTGCTTAAAGGAGAGGAGTAGGTGTTTTACCAGCGGGAGTATCAGGCGGTTGGGATAACCTTTTTTTTTTCGTAGGGACTACATCCGTAAAGTTCTTGAAATGGGGCGACTCCGTGCGGAAGTTGCCGCCTGTCAAACTGTTACTCGAGTAAAAAAAGTTATGGGGCTTCTTGAACTATAAAAGTTTCTTTCTTTGGATGGTTGCGTTTAGCGATATCTTTATTATAATTAAGTTATAGTGGATCTTGCAAGGCATTACTTAAGTTATTGCCTGCTCTATTGGAAGGTTTACCTTTTTTCGCCACCCTCAGAGCTTAAGATGCCACAATTTACCTGCGTGGCATTATGGTGAAAAGGACGTTGTAAGATAAGCTTGGCTTGGAAGACCTTTGCACCCACAAAGTTTTGTTCCAAAAAAAATTTATTGATGGGCTTCTAGATATCAGAGCTTAAGTAGTTGTAAATCTTGTAGTTAAAACAAAATAGTATATATACGCGCAAAAAACAAAGCAACCTCCTACGGATAAAATATTTTTCACATCAGCCCAAACAAGTCCGACGAACTAAAAAGGGCTATACAACACAACCACGTAAATGATTATTGCCTATTTATATACATTGATATAAAAGACAAAAGACTATTTGAACTTTTATCTAAATAAATAAATGGTTTTTTACGTACACTTATAGATTTAAAACCCGCTTTGCTGATAACTAATAACTATTAGCAATGATGCACCATCTAAAAACGGGTCAATTCATGTGAAATAGCCATAAATATGTGATATGACACGAATACGACTATACAAAGTAGTTATTATTTTTGCAAGATATAAAAGTCGACATCTAACTAAAGAAAAGTGTTTTTACTTTGGCAGAATTAAAATGTAGCCCCTGTCGTAGACAAAGAAATAACTATTTTGAAGAGACTTAAGATCCAATTTTTTTAAAAAAGCGGAATTTTTAATTTGGTAGCCCGCTACTTTTTATATACTTAAAACTATTAAAAAAGAACTCAGGTGGCGTAGGACGATAAACTCTTTGTACATTCTTTTTAAAATCGGTTAAAAAACGCTCACTTTAGAAGACTTAAAGGTTAAAAAAGCTACATTTCTGGAGCTAGCTGATAGAAATGCTATTCAACGCTTTATTATACCCATTAAAGTGGTATAATTAGTAAAACTCCAGTGTAGTATCCCTCATGGCGAGTCATAGAAAAATACAAAAAAACCAGAGGGTTTTAGTAGCTAGAAGTTTCTGAGCGTTAAAGTTCTCGATTCTACCTTCTTTTGCAAACAAACTTGCGTTTCAAGGTGGGTATCGTGCAGCTACTACGTGGAAAGCAGAAATGAAGGTAGCAGTGTCTAGTTTCTTTTCAAGTTCATAGAAGCTTTAATGTTAAAAATCTCATCTTATCGAGAGTGAGTTTAATTGTTACACCTTCAATTTTGTTATAAGGGCACAGACTATACACATTTTTCCCAACTTATTAATTTAACTTTCAAATTTGTTTTAATAAGGGGAAAAACTCCGTCCACCAGAACGTACTAGAGTCACTGGTGTAAACTAAATTTTATTTCTTATAGTCAATGTAAAAGCAACCTTATAGGGCAAAGAGAGCTATGTAAAGGGAAAGCATATAAACCCCAATACTGTGGTAATTAATGCGTCCGATTATTATCCATGATAAAAATTATTATTGTTGCTATAACCACATAGAACCAAAGTCTTCATTTTGTAAGAAAAGAATAATCTTCGCTAACGTGTTAGGATTGCGCTTACTAGCTTTATTACTCCTGAATAGAACTAAATTCATTTTTTATTATTATTTAATTATCAAATTGCAGTTAACACAATGGTGACCTCACAGCTTCGTCTAATGTGTAGAGTTGCATGAAATTTGAAAGTTAAATGTTAAGTTTTCCTAATCACGCTAGAAAGAAAATTCCAGAAGGATCGCAGCGTACTGATACATTCCAATTTTACGTATTTTCCCGCTAAATACCCTATAAATTCGTAGATGATGCAGTGAAGCATTGCTGTTTACCACGGGGCGTTTTGTAAACACTATTGATAGCTTATTCTGATAACACTAACGTTGCTGAGAAGACAGGAGAGGCATATGTTTAATTTGAGAATTAGATAGGTGTAAAGAGAAGACAGTACCTTCTTGGATTTGTTAAAAGCATTAGCTATGTGTTTATTTAACACATTCTTTTAACAAGGTGATACCTGTTAATCATTAGATGTTCTCCGTTAAGTTTGAAGCATTCGCCTGGTGTCTTCTTCGCTTAGGTAGGAATACACAACTTATTTTAAAGCTATTAAAGTACTTATTTAAAAAGGAGCTAAGGTGTGAATATATTTAAACAGGATCACTAGAAGAGAAGAATTGGGCAACATCATCTAGTGATGCTGATTTTGTGTCATTATACATAGGTAACTATGCGCCATATAGAGAAAAAAAGAAAGGAAGAAAGACCAAGCTTCACTACTGTATCATATGTCAGAGAACACAAAGTGGTGGTTTGAAGGGGTGGAGGAGTGGGTTAGCTAGAAGGTTTTACAGAAGCACTAAGGTGTTTTGCAGCCCTTGTGAGACCTCTTTAACAGGATAAATATGTAAGTCCATCATACCGGGATTAAAAGTTTTCGGCGTAGCTCAGCAATTAAAAACAATGACGCGCAAATTCGTGGTTATGGGCCCCCTTCCCACAAACGCGGCTCTTACTCTGTCTTTGTGGATTGTGTACTGTCATTCTGGTGATCTAAAGGAGCGTCGGGGTTGAAGGGTGAACAGTTTAACTGTATTTTTGTATAAAATTTCAAGTCGTTCTTCTATTATAAAAATTTACGATAATCTTCTTAATAAAGCTATTTAAAAAGTTTTTACTTTAGTTCTAGAGAACGAAACCTTCATATGTGCATTTTAGAATACCATTTTGAAAAGGGGTCAAACTTTACCAAATAATTTAAAAACTCGCGCTACTTACAGTTGTTGGTCTAAAGGATTTTAGCTGTCGCCATAAATAACATCGCTAATCTGCAAAATGTGACACTATCCAATTGAGTGACTAAAGTGTATTATAAAATTTTAATTTGGCACCCCAAAAACGAGAAAAAAAATTCTGCTCGAGATAGCTAAGGCTAATTACTTGCATTATTCTTTAACTTAGCCCTCAGTTCGCGTCATTACAAGCTTTTTTTATATTTGGAATGTTATTTAGAACCCACTTCGGGTGGGAAGCAGATAAAATTAAGACCTCAGCTTGGAATGTGAACTCGTCATTCCACCGTCGAGGTGGATCTGCGCACGCAAGGCCTCCTCCCTCCTACCAAGCTAGCATGAATGGATACGGAGGACACTGTCAGTGGTGAGAGGAAGAAGCGTCGGTCCCATTAGTGTTGGTGCATACACTTAGAACTGAACGACTAAGCTATTAGAAATGAAGACTATTTCCCAGCTTTAAATCAAAACAAAATTTTGCGTTGCGGTACCTCAGTGGGTTGAATGCGGTGAGGTGCATACCGCCAACACCAGGACTTCAGAAATGTTACACGCAGAGTTCTCTAATAGCTGACCAATGTACGCTACCGCGAGATCCAATGCCCAGTCCGGATGCTACTATACCCCTATGCTTCCCGCCTGAGAGCGAGGCGCGCTAAGCACCCCCTGGGAATCATCTTACTAACATCGATAACGCTGAGTTACTCAACAACAAGGACTGCGATCGCAACCGATTCTAGGACAGCTGCTCGCTATTTTGAAGGCGAATTTCCCGGTTATACTCAAGATCGTGAAAAAAAGGCTTAGAATTTGTCTGCAACGGCTTTTAAAATTCAAACGATTAAACACACCCGATTACTGTTTTGGAACGCGGAGACATTCAGAAGAAAAAACACGAATTCCAGGAGTTAATGCAACGTGAAAGAATAAATATCTGTGCTATCAGCAAAACACAGATCTTCCCTAACGCGCCCTTTAACCCCTGCGGTTTTGCTAAGTATCGCCAGAATCGGTTGTACACCAGTGGTGGAGGAGTAACTATTCTTATCAAGCGAGGTATCCAACACCACTTAATAGCATTACCAGCTCTTCAAGGCGAGGCGGTTTGTGTTACCCTTAATCGAGGCGGTTTGTGTTACCCTTAATTGGCTAAACAGTGGGGCTCACAACTGTAACGTCAATCTATAAACCACCCAGCCAACCACTCAAGTTGTTCGATCTTGATACCCCCCTAATGCATGGCCTTTTTTTTTTTGCCGGTCATTCTATGCAGAGATTTTAACTGTAAACATCTTGCGTGGAACAGCCGGATTGCAAATCGGAATGACTGCATCCTTGATGCTAACGTTGAAGAATGTGTGTTGAGGGCCCTAGGACCACAGCTGCCAACACACATTGCGAGGAAGACGGGACGTGGACATGTTTAATATCGCCGTGTTAAAAAAAAATATATGCCTTCCAACGGCTATTGAGGCGCTAAATGAATTGTTCTCGAATCATTCGCCTGTCTTCCTCGAATTGGGCGACGAAAAGGAAGCACTAAAACGATCACCCGATCTTACACGAATTGGAACAACATCTGAGAATTGCCCGGGAAGGCGCTCCCACGGTTTACGCCCCCGTTCGATACTTTCGCTAAACTAAACAGTGCTGTAGTCGAATTTGAACGCGCGATGACAGAAGCCTACGGCAAAGCAACAACGACACGTGGAGTTGTGTGCCGCCCTAAACGCCTTCCTGGGCATTAATATGCAAGCTTCGGCGACTCATCCGAGTAGTCATGGCCTTCCAACGCGCAGAAGACAAACTGGTGTTAAGTTTCCCTTCACCGGCCTACCAGGAAAAAGCTGATGGCGCATAAGAATTGTTAATGAGATAACAAATTAAAGAAGTATCGGACGCTGATGCCAACGGTCGCGCCTCTTTTTGGAAATTTGATAAGCGAGTTAAAAATCGCGAAGACATTCGACTCAACCACCACTTCGCAAAGGCGATATCGTAGCCGAAAGCAATGAAGATAAAGCGAAACGTTTTGCTGATCGTTTGGCTTCCCAGTGTTCGCTGTTTTCCCCCCTAACCGATGAAAACGCTCCCCTTGTGCATAATTTTATCTCGTCTGATACCACTGATTTTCTGGAGCTGTCTACCACAGACGAGCTGAAATCAATTATCAAATACTACCGTAGCGAAAGGCGCCCAGCCCTGACGGCATCACTAACCTGATGTTGATACGTTGCCAGAGGCTGCCATGAATCCTCTATGCGACCTCGTCAACACGGTGTTAACCTTCGGTTATGTTCCCGGTCGTTGGAAAAGGGCAGTAGTCGTGCTTTTACTGAAGACTTTGCCACTGGCGTCAGAGCCTCACAACTAGCGATCCATAGCCTTTTATCGGCAGTTGGTAAGATAGCAGTAAAGCTTGACCGTTTCAAGGCGATTGTGGACGCTCGTGGGATTTTACCAGTTTCAGCTTGGATTTCACAAGGGACACTCAACGACCCAACAATTCTTCGCCTAACCAAGTGGACGACCACAGTTTTTAATTTCAAAAAATCCACCGATGTCTTTCTCGATGTTGAGAAGGCTTTTAATTGAGTATGACATGGTGATCTGTTATGCAAGCCACATGCTTTGGCGATACCGCGCAGCCTTCGAAAAGTTCTCAAGTTGTACCTAAACGGCAGGGTCTTTAAAAGCGAGTCGGGTTGCACCGTCGTCGCCCTACTATCTCACACCGTGAGTCCTGCAAGACTCTCTTCTAACACTGCTACTCTTCGAATTTTCCTTCCAGTTCGCTCTCACAAACAATCTACCATTTATACCGAGGATACGATAATTTGTTTGTTCTTCGTCCAAGTCATCCGTTTTACTATTTCAGCGCTTACAATTTCATCTTGAAGCGCTTGCTAGATCGTCAAATCGCAGGCAACTTAATCAGCATCACTAGCCAACAACGTTCAGCACCAATCCCACTTCTGTCCCGTAATTCTTATGTGCCTAGTCGGCTACTTTTTAAGGTAACTGCTAATTTCAAAAACCTAAGAAAGTCTTAGTACTTAGAAGATTTGTAGGCTTAGTTTCCCCCCCTCGCGTATACTATTTTAAAAAAATAAAAATTAGTGTTTTCGGGATCACGCTTAAATTCTCATCAATAAAGGGAAAGACCAGTATTCTAAAGAAGTTTTTGGGTTTTTTGGAATTCTCTCTTACTGCCTGAAATTCGAGGAATGATATCTTGTCTCCTTGCCCTTAATGCTTTCGTTAGCACAAAGTTTCTTCCAAAGATTGGTACCATCGCTACCAATGAATGTCGGTGCTCTTGGCGACTTTTTAGAAAAGCTTGATTTAATATTCTCCTCATATCCAAAAACTTGCTCTGATTCACTCTCCGTTTCTTTTATTTCAGGTTAATCTGGCTCCAAGAAAGTTCTTCTTCTTCGTCATCGGGTTCTTCGTAAGCCAAAACTGTGACAAAAAAGTAGATAAATAAGGGTTTAAATTAATAACAATTTAATAACTCAAAGATATATTAAATATTAAACAGTAATTCTTTGAAACATAATTAAATAATTAAAAAAAACCAATTATCTTACCAGCAAAGATAAACATCACATAACAAAGCGATAAGGTATGCCAGGGGCCTCTACAGACTTAGGTTAATTTTTTAGCTGCCCAAAGTCGTGCTCCGCCACTTGTACAACCGGTATTACAGGAGGAGCACACCCAGTTTATTGTGGATGGGAGTATTTTTTTATACCTCAGAGTGGGCACGTCGGACTTGTGAGACAGTTATTGTCCTTTTAACTTAACTCCAACAAAAAAATTGTACTTTACTTCATACCTTTTTGCAGCATGAATGATAGGGACGATTCAAGTTTAATATGTGAGGGGAGTAATGGTGCAAGAAAATGTTTGAACTATACCGGTTACGAAGAAAATTCTACTATTAAGCGGTTCAAGAAAATCCCCAAGAGAAAAGTATTTAACTATTATTCTCTTATATAGGATTGAGGCCTCAAAAATTTTTTATAAGTTTTAATTTTAACAAACTGTTTTTATATAGGTTGCTTTGCTTTTATCTTATTCTGGCGCTAAATATTATGGAATGCAACGGTAATACTTATAACCGCGTTTTTAGTAACCTTCGATTTAGTAATAATTCTCATTTACCCTGAAAACTTTTTTTTATTAAGTCATATTATAACAAAGGAATCCAGGTGTGGAAACCATTGAATCTAAGTTACACGAGGCTTTAGTGAAAGCGGGAGCAATATCTCCTTGGAACGCAGATTCTCTGAGCAAAGTACTTGCTAAACTTTGCTTGTTGTTTGTTTAGTTTTCTTACTTTTTTTAAGATAAGTTTTCAACGTTGTGCTAGAACAGATAAGGGGGTCAGCGCTCGGGAAAATGTTGTGTCTTTAAAGATAAGTTTTTAAAAGTATTTAAATTATAACTATTCGTATTTAAACATATGTACGTCCATATGACAGATAACTTGCAAGAAAACATTAACAATTTTTTACCGCCGGTATTTTTGTTTTAAGTTTTTTTAGTTTTATAAACACGGTATGTTTTTAATTTATAAGGATATTCGGGTCATGGGTATTCAGAGGTGCACCAAGTCGTTTAATAGTAAAAATCAGTGCACTGCTCGCTTATACGACTACATACTGCCAACATTTTCTTTTGCGAAGTCCTTGCATCTTACGAATGACACTTATAGGATATGTCAAGTCTGTTTCTTTAGCTACTGGCAGTCTTGAGGCGTCACTATCTTTTCTTGCATTTTATAGACCACCTTAACTAATATTCGAAGGCTACTGAAAGTCTTTGTTGGTACCCATAATTTTCACAACTATACTTCAGGAAAGGAGTTTACAGATGCCAGTGCCATCCGGTTCATCATGGACTTCACCGTAGTTTCCCTTACATTTTTCTTTCATTTTAAGAGTGACTTATTGCTTACTGCTCGTCAGTGTGCCGAACCATTTGTTATGGAAGGCGTGGAATTCATACGTCTTTCCATAAAAGGGCAAAGTTTTATGATCCACCAAATAAGAAAGATGATAGGTAATTGTGCTAAGATGCTCTTTAGTCTTCTCATTTCCCTTTTAAAGTACTACGCTAATCCACTTTAATTTGTGTTGTTATAATTAAAGGGTTGGTCATAAGCATCGTTAGGGGGTTGTGTGCGGAAACTTATATTACTAAAACTTTTTCAAACTTGAAAGTCCATGTGCCCAAAGCCCCCGGACTCGGCCTTCTTCTGCGGCAAGTATGTAACGAAGAAGTATGTATGTATTTGATTCATTCATTTTGTTATTTTTTTCGGAGGTGTTCTTTACGGACTATAACCGAAAGTGTAATAACGGCTCATCAGGAGGGATCAACTGGGATTCTTCCTGGGTCTGCTCTTAATATATTCTATTGCATTATATGTCGACTCCCTAGCCTTTCGTAACCTTCTCTTGATTGTTAGCCCCTCTCCATTATATTTCTTTGCTGTATAGGAAGCCCTTGAAGAGTTTGAAAACAAGGTTATAACTCCGCATATCATTACCACGGAAAAGCAAGGTTGCTAGATCTTAGTTGTGGTATATTCTCCTAGCCAGAATACACCATTAAGAGGGATCGATGGGCAACTGGTTAATCAAGTTGTACAGTTCGCATGACTTTTGCGTTCCTGAAAATGAAACATGCAGCAGTGTTCAGCAGTACTACCCTTTCTTCTTCCTTTTAAACCCCTTCGCCATTTGCTTATTTGTTAGGGCCCCCTAAAAGTATGTAAGCTTTTTAAACAGAGTAAGCATGCACCTCATGTGTCTCTTGTAGCATGTTTATAGTGCTTGCAAATGAGTCAATAGCGCAGAAGAGTTTTTACGGACTGCATTATATATTATAGACATCAGATGATCTTTCTTGTCAGTTCGTTCGTTTTGTAGTAGGAAATATTTGTTAATTTTTTTTTTAAAAAAATTATTGAGGTGACTGGCATACTTATTCACTCTAACCTATAAATAAACTGACCAAATAATAGTTACTTTTTCCCTTCAAGTTACTTTATATTGACTTCTCCTGGGCATTATTAGGGATTTTTAGGGCTTCATTTGAATTTTTTATGGTCTTTGCGTTTGACCTTCACACTTTTAGTAGACTAAATCGTTCAAGTGAATACATTTTATGTCGGGTTTTAGAAAGGCACTATTTTTTTTCTCCTGCAGCTTCTTGATTTGGATCTCATTTAAGTTTATGAGAACTGCCAGCTGTAGTCTTCTATTTCACTACTTCCCAGAGGTGTTTACCACTATCTTTATTAGGAGATCTATACGAATAATATGTTCCTTGCCGGTTTACTTTTGAAAACTTCATGTTTTAAGCTGAAAGTTAAATTTGTTATCAAAGAGTTCGCTAAATAAAATAGTATTTTTCCCTCGTTAACTAACCTTTGGCCTTTCCTTATATATATAGGTATGTATGAAAGCTCCGCCGCACGTTTTTAGTCTCCTGCACATTTATAGCTTTGTACTGAAGGTGACTATAGTCACATTTAAAATTTGAGACGCTCTCTTCGGGTTAGAGTAGGTGTGTTTCAATCTTTCTGAACTTCACTAATAGTTACGTAGTTCATTCGTCCCATATGCTGACACAGGTTTTTCATTGGTAATTATTTGTTTTCTATGTTCATATGCTTTAAGGACGGCAGCTATGAAATTATTTAGGTTGCCGGTTTTGATTATATTTTGTTCTTCAGCTTTGCTCTTTAGTGTATATAGTGCGCCTCATGTCTCATCACCGGATTAGAAGGCCTTCGCTATATTGTAAAGTGTATATATGTAGCAGTTGCACTGCCTTTTTTATTATGAAGTTATAGTAGGCCTTAGTTTGCTTTGGACTCCTTTATGTTATTAAAACCTATATATAAAGCTACTCGATATTTTTTTACTAAAACGCTCTTTAGTTTAAAAATATTGAGGTTTCATTTTGAATTCTGGCTGCTTTAATTAAACTTGTTTTTAATGATACTATATGAACAAATATTGGCTTTAAGATTGGAACTATTTTTTAATATTATTGCACCATCGGAACCATAAATGAAACTTATTTACTATTGAATACTCGTTTTATTTATTATTTTGAACTATGGGTAAATTTGTCACTGATTCTTCCGGCAAACTAATTCTCGGATGCAGTGGAGTTTTATTTGCTCAAAGTAAAAATTTTTAGTACTCCTCCTACTTTACTTAAAATCATCCCTATGCTAAATTGGTAATTTTCTTTTACTTTCTAAAAGCATTTATATATATTTCAGTTTTCTCGTAAAATTTTGTTTTAAATTTAATTGTGGTGCTCCTATTACACCCATTAGTCAGTAACTTCTTATTAAAGCTCTGATTCCTATATGAGTTGATATAGCTATGCATATTTACTTCAAAACTAAAACCTTAAAGCTTTCAATTATAGACTCAGTTCTGTTCATCTGCAAATGACAGTTATTAGAGTGATGCCACGATTGCACTTTAGCGTTTCAAATTTTTTAAATTAGTTAAAATCGTACTGGCTTCACTCTAAGCCTAAAACTACCTAAGTTTTTTTCTTAACACTCGCCAAAAGTTAACCCAAATATATGATTTTGTATAGTTATTTGAAATATGATACACCAAGTCAATTTTTAACATTTGTAGTGAGCTAAAGTAATCAGATCAAAATAATTTTTACTTGAATACAAGTATTGAGGGTAAAATCCCTGTTATTACATTTAGTTTGCTGTAAAATTTTTTGAACCTCTCGTGCGTATAAATTAAACTAATGACGATATATTGAACTTAAATGGTTTTATTACTTATATTCCTCCTAAATCAAATAAAAAGCTACAGTTTTCCTATAACTAACAAAACTTTTTCACGCACTATTATAAAAGCTTAAGTACATATACACGCAAAAGAACACAAGCACACACCAGTTTCTTAAAATATAACCTCACTTCCTTTTTTCTATTATTTGTCATTTCATCAGGGTAACGTTATGTACGTAAAGCCATCCTACGGGGATTGCGGAGTTGTCGTCCCAGCTCAGCTGATGAGGGCTTTATGCGCATACTCAGGGAGTGGGTTTCACCACTCTCTCGGTCTTTGATGGTCGCATATATTTTTTTTAACCTCGCCCCCATCAATTCTAATTGAGTACACGTCGCTTGGAATCTCTTTACACTGCCCAAAATTTCAAGCCGAAGGGACCAAAATAACCGGCCCCCTTAAGTTAAGATGTTTATAGGATATTAAAGTGGTGGTGAAAACTTAATTTAGTAAGTTTTCTTTTTCTGTTTTTTTATTTAAAGCAAAGAGTAGTTGCGTTTCTTTACTGTTACAACTCCTTTTCAACAAACTTAAGATTTTATCATCTGGCTAGTACATAAGCAAAATGGCTAACAATCTTAATTCGTAAATAACTTTTGTAGGTACTTGGTACCCTCGAGCGAAGATTCTTTGCTTCAGGCAATTATCTTGCATACTAATACGATCACATCAATCTGTATACGTTATATATTCACATACTTCCCTGGTGGACTATTATTTTACATACTATAAACTGATTTATTTATGTTCCCTCACTGCTAAGGACTCTAGAATCTTCTGTATTCTTCTGGAAGAGTTCAATGTATAGATAACGACCACTTCTCATTGCAATTAAGCAGCTTATTTGCTAGTCGGTTTCCATTGCAAGTATTTTGCACTGTCTAAATGTCTACTCTATATACTCTACTTAAGGTTATTAATATTTAATAACCGAAAAGCGGGAAAGAAGATAAAAGAGGTGATCAGCAGGGAGGTTTGCTACAAAAAGCCACCTATATGTGAACAACGCATTTATCAAATATTAAATATAAGCAAAAGTTACCAAGGAAGTTTTTTAAATATTACTTCTGCTTTAACAATTATTCTTGTAGATAGTAGATTTAAAAGAGAGTTAAGTAGTAGTTACTAAATATCTGTTTTCTGTATTGGTACCTGCAGTCACCGTTCGTTAATTGAGTTAGTAGTTGTTTCCTAATAACAGTATATTATTTGTGTTTCTACTGTTTTAATTACTTGTAAAATTCAAGATTTATATAAGGCAGTGGTATTCTTAAAATAATAAGGTTATTAAAGTAAAAGTAGAGAATATATTTGACTCCCTTATACTAGTTAGAAAGTTTCTCGAGTGCGAGACTCCGCGCAACAACCACTTTGGGAAGTTTGTTTGGTAAGAGCTGTAGCCTGTTGATGTTAGATGGAGTAATAAGTTCAAATAGAAATGCATAGTTGGATTAAACAAGCTATCCTGCAGCTAAGGGGTGGAAGGAAAGGCGGTTTTCTTACTTTTGTTATCAAGTAGCTCGTGGGAGCTTGCCAACTTGGCTGGTTTGCTTCGTGGCACAGCTGAGACAGAAATTAACGTCTTCTTTCAACATTAATATCAATAAGGTAATATATTTTATGCTACAAGCCAAATTTTTAGATAACTTTTTACGTATTTGACAGTAAGGACGGGGTTGCTTGCATTTTACGATAATTAAAAATTTGGCTTTATCTCATAAGGGGCATAAAGAGCTTGGAACATGACAGCTTAAAATAAAAATGTTTTGTTTCTATATTTTCTATTCTTCGGTAGCTGCGCAGGGTTTCTAAGCCAAAGATGCGCCGCCACATTCGGCTCCTTTTCTGGAATGCAAAATGGTGTTCAGAGTACTACGAGAAATAATTGATGTGTGCGCCAAAAACAAGGTGCACCTCCTTCCTAAAGTCGTATTTAATTTGTGCAATTTGTTACGTATCGCCAAGACAGAATTGATGCTCGCGCCGGGGGCGTGACTGTCCTGGTCAAAAACGGACTATTCGACATCATTCGATATCTATGCCACCTCTACAAAGTGTCGAGACAGTGAGGATTCCCCGATGTATGTAATCGCTGCCTACAATTCCCCTTGGAAGCTCCTTCCGCCCCCCAATTTGGATGGCATCCTTGAGAGTGCTTTTTCTGCTGTTTTGTGCGGAGATCTTAATTGCAAGCACCTACTATGGAGCAGCCGAGCCGATAACTCGAATGGCCGCACCCTAGAGGCCCATCACGGGCTGTTCGTGCTAGACCCCCAGCAACCAACACAGTTGGCAACTACAAGCGCAATGGACGCAATGAACATTGCCACACTTAAAGAAAGCGCTCCACGAGCTTACCTCCGGTTACCACCCTGTCTTCTCAAGTTAAGGGATGAGAAGGACACACCTAATACCGTTACAAGTATTTTTACCGACTGGGACATATATGCTGATGTATTAGAAACCACGCTGCCGCCGTGTCCGTCATCACCGTCCCCACCCGCCCTGCGGAATAATGCTATTGCCCTTTTCGAAACCGAACTAAGCATTGCTTACACTACTGCCACGACAACTCGTGAAGTAACACACTGTCCCGGTCGCCTGCCTGACGTACAAATGGCACTTATCTACCATCGTCGACGTCTTATTCGAGTAGCTATGCCGCAGAGCGCCGAAGACATTGCGCTTAATCGACTTCACAGTTGCATTAAAAAAAAGCTATTGGCCCTTTTTAACAATAAACTGGAGAGCAAACCGCATCATATATCGGAATCATGAGGCAGCAGCCGCCCTCTTGGAAAATTTGTTAAAAAAATCAAAAATCCGGTGTTTGTGGCCGAAAGTGATGGTGATAAAGCTACGCTTTTCGCTAATGTTCTTGCTACCCAAAGTGTGCCAGCTGCTCACTGTACGGTCAGTGATGATGCGTCCCCTCAACCGAGCTTACCCCTCCCAGTTAACTACGAACTACTTAATCTAGTTAATGCTGACGCGGTGCAAGCAACTGTCGAAGAGCTACGTAAGAGACAAAAGCCTGACCCCGATGGCATCACTAATGAGATGCTGAAGAAAAGGTCATTAATAGGGATGCACTATCTTTACCTCATAAAAATCTTCGTTCTCCTCGGGCGCCTTTCCGATTTGATGGAAGTCGGCGATCGTTGTGATGCTACGAAAAACACTTAAACCGTAATCAACATCTAGCAAGTACCGACCCATAAGTTTACTGTCAGCGGGGCAAAGCTGGGAGGCTATTGTACTGCGCCGTCTTAAAGAGATCGTTGATGCCCGGAAAGCATCACCGGAGTTTTCAAATTGGATTTCGCATGGGCACTCCACGACCCAGCAGCTCCTCCGGTTAACTGAATGAAACAGTCGCGCTTCTAACCATGAGAAGGCAACAGGCGCTGCCTTCCTTGACTTTGAAAAGGCATTAGTTCAAGTTAGGCATGAAGGTCTGCTGCACAAACTGCGCTTGTTATCCGTCCCTCATGGCCTTCATAACGTGCTGAAATCATATCTGAATGGTGGCGTCTTCAGCGGGCGCGTGGGAGACACCCTGTCGCCGCTTCGACTCTGGCAGCAGGGGCCCCTCAAAGAACACTTCTCTCTCTTTTATTTGTAATTTATATGAGCCGACGTGCCCTTGCCGTCCCACCCACACACACGAATTGCCTTTTACGCTGATAATACGACCCTATATCCCTCTTCCAAGTCACCCACCTTGCTATGCAAGCATCTACAGTGCTATCTTGACGCCCTTGCTCTCTGGTGCCGTGTTTGGAAGGTTACTATAAATGTGATGAAGAGTAAAGCTATATTAATTTCAAGAAACGCGTCCCTTTGTGTGTGTCCTTCACCTTTAATGCGTGAAGATTCCATGGTGTTCTCAACCGAAATACTTGGAAGTCATTATCGACAAGTTTTCTGGCAGCTTCACGTGGACTATGTAGTGCCGAAGGTCAAGGTGGCAACCACTACACTTTACCCTCTACTTCGTATCAAGAGTAAGCTTTCTCTGTGAAACAAATGGCATTTGTATTTGTCTGACATCTAGCCAAAAATGACACACGCCTCAGCTGCTTGGAATTACGGCTCCATTGCGATAGCATCGGCACTTCAAGTGCGACAGAACAAATTGCTGCGTGTTCTGATTAAGGCGCCGTGGTATATACGAAATGCTGCTCGTTACCGGGCCTTCAGCGGGTCCCTTTAAACATTGTCTTTCAACGCCATGCCGTGATCCTTTATGACAGGTTCACCAGGTACACTAATCGCCCGCTGTTGAGCGAACTTATCTACGAGCCGTGGGGCGGGGTAAGTTATTGCTGCCACGCGCCGCGCTTAAACTCCAGTTTCTTTTTTGTTTATGTAAAGAAATAATGACCCCTGATGCTATTTGCAATATAATCTGCGGTCACTCCTGATTGAGAGCTCGAGTGTTCGAATTTTTTAACTCGGTTGAGCGCTAGGAATTGTCATTAATAAACAAATAAACAAATGGATGAGGTTATCCTCATTTTATTATCTTTACCTTTGTTCTTCTTTTGCTTTTTTTCGCTTGCCTTCTTATTACGTTATAAGCACGAAATTTGCTTTTTTTTTTTCTTTTTCTTATTTTATCTCCTATTCCATTCTTTTTTTTTTTATATTTTACTTGAGAATATTGCCTTTCAATTTTTCTCTTTTTCTACTCTTTCGCGCATTTCAAAAAGTTCCTCATTATTTCTATTTTTCTTTTATTACCTACTAAGTTTCATCCTTTTCAATCTTTTTGCGCCTTCATTCATTTAACTCATTCTTCTACCTCTTTAATACACTGAGTAAAAAGCATGCAAAATCATCTAGCAGGTTCTACCACCTGGAATACTCAAAGGCTCCGGGGGTTTTCACAACCTTGTAATGGCTAATGGATATCAAACTGACCTTGCCCTGCCATGACATACATGACTTATTCTTTATAATTGAGAAAATAGGAGAAAAAGAAATAAGTTCACATGAAAAACTCGTAAATCTGTCACAGGCATTCAAATAGTTATGAGTAGCGTACATGATGACATAAAAAGCAAAAAGGCAATATAGATATTACAGCCTGAAACAGACCTTGAAGCGTGAAAAAATACTTTTGGCCTAGATCAATTGCTGCTTCATTGGTAAAAATGCAAGACTTTGTATTACTTCAAAAGGAGAAGAAGAGTCTATTCCACAATATGCTAACAGACTTAATCACTTAGCCCGAGAAATTCAGGAGCATTGTACTGTAAAAGAATTAACCCCTTTTATCTCTAAAATTCGCGATTACTTTAAACTATTGCTCTAATTTACAGTGTGGAGCTAATATAAGTACGACAAGATATCACTAGAGCAACTTTACACCGATTCGAACGAATTGAACTATATTATGCTTTGTTATTATAAGCGGAGACTAGAAAATAAGAAGAAGGAACCGCATCTACATCTTTGAAAACAACAACTTATGGTAACGTCACCTCACGGGACAGAAAAAATTCAACCATTAATGTTTCTTCTAATTTCATATGTAAGGGTTGTAATATTTACGAAGTAATTGCTCTCTTTTAAAAACTCGTTGAACCTTTTGTGGCAAGATAGGGCACATTGCCTAAGCGCCTTTATCAAAAAAAGCCCAGAAGCCGTGTCAATTTCGATATTCCCTAAAAACCCTAATCGGAATTTAGTATTGACTCTGCGTCGGATTCAAATTTTATCAAAGATAAGATTTGGTAGAAGATATGTATTTTAAAAAAGCCTTCCATTAAAACAATAAAAGAAAACTTAAAATCTTACCAAGCTGCTTATTTATAAGTTCAACATAAGGGCAACGTAGTCTAAGCCCTTCTTTCTTTCATAATCTAAATTCAGTATGATAATTAAAGGAGAATGTACACTACAAAATTTGACTTGAAGCTGTTACGATTAAAAGAAAAAAATATTAGTTGCAGAAGGATCTCTAAAAAGTTGGATGTATACACCTTCTATTAAAAAACCTCTAGGCTCAAAGGCTTTATGTCCTCAGATCCTTGACCAGAACAACGAGACATTCTTAGAACAGTACAAGTTAGCTATATCTTAAAAACACGGCCCCGTAAGTTAAACTCTTTAAGATCCGTCAGTGCGAAATATATCTCAAATGTATAATGAATAAATAAAAAGTAAGCAAAATTAGTTGTCCCCAATGCAATAGATTACCTGGTCAACTTTTGTATTGGATACTTTCCAATAGGATTTACCTTCTTTTGATAGCTACCAGTTTGTTCTTATTGGAACGAGGCTAATACTAAACATAGCAGTTTTCACTAAAAATAAAGACGAAAGAAAAGACAAATTTGTTGACTAGAATATATGCCATAACAAGCATATAAAAAAAACAAACAGGTCAATTTGACCACGTTAATAACACTATTGAGAAAACTAAGAACCGATAAAGGAGTGAATATGTAGACGAAACTTTAAAGGCTTTCTTAAGACGAGAAGGTATTCTACATACCAGTCTTTAAGGATACTCCTCAGTTATGCATAGTGAACGTAGCATTCAAACAATTTGTAATATGACCTGACGCATCTTAACAGCAACCAAAGTACCATTGAAATATTGGAGCGAAGCTATATGAGATGCCGACTTCATTACCAACTACAGCCGTTAAAATGACAATGTATTCACACCAAACCAGATTTATGGATTACAATCACGAGACATTAAAACTTATATGCTTCTCGATTGCATCGCTTACTTTTATGATTCAGAATATAAACGGGAAATCCCAAAATAGAGCAAATACTGGCAATATTCTCTCGAAACAGATGAATACACCCTACAAACACCAATAAAGTCGTCCGTTCTAGAGATGTAGAGAATTTTTCCGAATAACAGAAATGAAATAATTGACAGAAACCTTACCAACTTATCTTCATCACATTTAGAAAGGGTCAGCGGAATCGACAGAAGGCTTTACATCACGGCACCACCTTTACCCAATATTACCTTAGACCATTATAAAAATTCTACTTTACTGATAAAGAAAATATCGCTACCAATTGATTTAAGTGGAGTCAAAATACCTCCAACACTTTAGACTTTAACCTAATTACAAATCATGATAAGCCAATGCTAAATATTTACAAGACACAAGTGACGTATTACCGTCCACTATTATAAATAAAAATAGTATTACTGATCAAGTTAAAAATGGACATGAAAAATACACACTCACTAAAACCACAAATCAGTAAAAACATGCACGATGACTTACTTATCAACGATAATAATAAACTGATTAAACAATCAGAAAATCCCCAATGGTGCACAATTCACTCAAAATACAACAATTACAACAGATTCATCTAAAAATAAGAAACAACGATTAAAACTAAACTAAAAAGAAGATTCAGGGCAAATAAAGACTAAATCACACCCAAAAAAACGGTGACCGCTGCAAGAGTAGTTTACTAAAGTCTGACGAAAATTTGCAAATCAATTCTGGTTATAAGTCCTATTATTTGTCTGATTACGAACCCTTATTTATTGAACAAATTCCCGCTCTAGAAGTAGAGAATAAGTATAAAAGAACTCATCAAATTTCTGATAAAGAACAAAAATCTACAATTAAAAAGAACAAAAATAACAATTCATTGTTTTGTAGCATATATTTAACCTTTAAGGAGGCAATGAATACAGAGGGCAAGAGGAAATACATGGAGTCTGCCCCTAAAGTACTCTCCTCTTTGCACATATATGATGGCTCTAAAAATAAAAAAATTTCTGAAGCTAGTGAAACAGGAAATACCTACTACTTACTTCATCATATAAAAAAACAAGTAATCTCTACAAAGCAAAGCGAACAGCTAGTGATAGCAGCAAAGGGAAGGTATTGTTTTTAATGTAGTTCCCTCCCCCGTACTTTCTAAAAAAAACTTTTTGATTGTTGTTAAATATTGCAAAATTTAAAAAAAGCCATTACATCTTGCAGATATTGCTACGACTTTCATACACAAAATTAGACAAGCAAGTTTATGTTTATATGCACAGTGTGTATTTAATTTAAAACTTACTATCTACTGAACAAAGATAACCACTGCTCGACCATTTTACAAGAAGAAAAAGGGTATCTTTGAAATTAGTTGCAAGCTATGGATTATTGAGGTCTACAAGATTATTTTACAAAGATCTATTAAAACGATTACTTAAATTTGGGTTACATGCGAAGTATACTTGATTGCATATTTATTGGGAAATTTTTTTCGATACCATAGTTGGCATATACGAGGATGGCTTTATAATTTTGGGTGACGCACAAAGATTTTTAGAAAAGATGAGGGGCGAATATGAGTTTAAGGAGTCGCCACAAGTAATAAAATTTTGGGATTATATACAAATTTAACAGATACAGATGATACAATTTTCGCTCGACCAATCCTAAATAATTGAACAACTGCCATATAAATACAATATAAATTCCTATTTCTTAGAAATATAAAACTCTAACTACCAAAACGATGCCTCATCAACGAGCAATAGAACAACCTTGTGTAACAGTCTTGTGGGTTCTATAAAAGTATCGTGATATACAAGGCGATACATCATACGTGACTACTCTTATTGTGAGATTTCTACAGAACACTGGTAATGATCACTTATTATTTGCACAGAAGACATTGAAGTAACGGAAATATGAATGATAATATTGTCCTCGCCTTCTATTTTGATGCATCCTGGCAGATAGTTAAGATTATCGTACCACAAAGGGATGTATTATATTTATGAATGGAAACCCCGTTACCTGGAAGACTAAGATCGATAGAACAACCTACATAAATCCTCTTGCGAAGCGGAATATATAGCTTTAAGTAGTGCTATTGCAAGTACTACTTTCATTAAAAAACTTATTAAGTGAATTAATTCCAATTCCTCACTTTTAGTGCGTGTACATGCAGCTAATGAGCTGTAGTTAACATTGTTAAAGGATCGTCTTCTCCATAGGGAATACGCTAAATTGATATTGCTTTTCACTTTGTCAAACAAGCTGTAAATCAAAAAAACTAACATGCTCATATAAATTCAGAGCAAAATACTGCTATTATATTTACAAAACCACTTTCAAAACAGAAACACGACAAACTGAACATTCAAAATTTTTAAATAAGCTGAGGATTGTGTAATACAGGGTTATACTATAAAAATTTCAAAAATTAACCTCTCACCAACCAATATTTTAAAGTTTAAAATTTACTCAATCGCCATATCATTTAAACATAGGGTTAAACTTGGAATTTTGCATTATTATTTTTTAATTTTGTAAAGTATATATATATATATATAGGTTAAAAGTAATTAAAGGGTAAGACGTTTTCTCCTCATTTATTGTCTCCCCTTTTATTCCTCTTTTGCCTTTTTTTCGTTGCCTTCTTATTATCCTTGCCCATCGTCGTCACTACATAGTCCCCGTGGGGCGGCCAGGGAAAATTTGTTGTCAATGACGACTCCCAAAGCTTTCGCTTAAGAAAACTACGGAATCTTCACTCCATCAAAGGTTAAAAATCAGCAAAGGGTCGCGGTTTATGGTAATTAAAAGGGCTGTGCTAGCTTGTAAGCCTTAAGTTTCTGTTTAAATGCTGAAACGAAAATATAATTATAAACGATTTAAAAAAATAGTATTAGTAGCTCGCAACTCAAATGAATCCTACCAAAATAAAGCTGAGGACACATTCTAGACCACAGCACTTAGATCTTTACTTATTAGACATACTATTGAAGACATAAGTCATTCTTGAAAACAATAAGGGGACCGAGTAACTGCCAGTGGTCTCAAAGCGTTTCTGAAGCTTTGCTCATGTTCGGTGAAGCTTGAGTGTTGTTAATATATGTTTATGTTTCCGGGGTGATAATAATTTAATTAAGCCCGCTAAACGGTTGTGATTATATGATGTTTTATATAGGGAATTTTTTTTAAATTATTACTTTACATAATACCTACTTGGCGCAGTCTTGCTATTAGGAGCTTTTCCTCTAATGATATTGCTAACGGGCTCGTTGTCTCTGTATATTAGCCCTTCAGCCTTTTATTCTAAAAAAACTTTTTTAATTAAGTTTTCAAGGAATTATCTCAGTAGTAATTATGCTTAGGGCCACATATCCCGCTTGACATTTATATTTGTGTTCTTTGTTTCTGTCTAAATTACTCTTCCATGTCACTACGTTATTATTGTTTATGATATGTCCCATGGTTTTCCTTCTCTCGAATGTATCTGTCCCAGATGAGTATGAGCAGCATCGTATATAAAAAGGTGCCGTGGGATTACCTATTCTATGTATGGAGTGCTCTTCGGTGTTTACTGGGTGACTGAGCATCCGTACTGCTGCTGTAGATGGTAACGTCATTCTTGTGTTAAAATCTCCCTAGTTGTGAGGTGGTAAAAGATGCCTGTGCATGTGAAGGCTATGTACCTAAGGCTTCTTGTAAGACGAGCATAGTTTGTTTGCTTCATAAAAATCTGGCGGTTCGAGCTGAGTTTTAGTTAGTAGTGGCGAGTTACTTTACTTACTAGATTTTATCTCGTAGGCTTCGCCTAACTGGGTTAATAAAATTGCTTGAATAATAAGAATTCCACAAGTAGTCTCTTTAATGCCTGAGCCTAGAATCCTTGTCACGTTCAATGGATACTACTTCGAAATCTTCCTGAACTTGTTTATTATGTAAGATTGGTCTCTGAATAGAAAACAATCATTTATGTAGGTTTCAATTATTGTTTCACGATCGATAGAGTAAAATACGCAGCGGTCGATGAGAGACTGTACGTATGACGTGAGCTTGCGATAAAAAAGCCTTGCTGATTTTTTAGTCCACCAATTGCAACTTTTACCCTGTCCACATATATTTCTTTCTTTTGGGTAGTGCTGAATAGATGAGTAGCCTTGCCATGGGCCTAATTTATACTTAATTACATACATGCCTTGGGATATATGAATGTAGACAGGATTTTCAAGTTTTATGTGTAAGAAAGCTGGGTTCATATCGGCTAAGAGCATGGCATAATTTTGAGCTGTGCCATAATTATTAGTGTGCGAAGTGTATTATAAGTCGAGAACTGGAGAGTATGTTTCATGGTATTCGATGCCTTTCTCTTGCATATATTTCCTGGCATAGAGTTTCTACCTTTATAATGATTGCGTTTGTTATGTAACTTCTACGTGGTTGTAATATTTTAAATCAGGAGTAATTGAGCTCGACGAGTTAATGTGAATCTGCTGCGCCTTATGACTAATATTTTTTTTTTCCAGCTAAAGCATAGCGGCTTTTTTATAGTCCTCTTAATCAGGTTTTTCGTAGCCTCTGTATAGGTAAGTAGTGAGCTCAAACGACTTCCATATTGATATCTGTGTCGTTTTCAAAAACTTCGTTTGTTTTAACCTTTATAGATTCTTAAATCGGTTATTCATTCTGCTGCGAATATTCGATTGCTAGTTGTTTCGACTCAATTGCTGACCATTGTTGTTTACTGGGCCTTTAGGTTTCCGTTTTAAAGTTGTGATTTCAAATCTGATGGGCCTTCTGTGTTTGTTCTCCTCTTTTATATTTTTGTTCCGTATGGTATTCTTGAGGGATAAAAAT